TATATATGAGAGAGAGGGGGGGGGGCAGAGTTTACATCCCTAGTCTTCTACCACTCAATTGAATAAGTAAAAAATAGGGATGAGGCAGAGAAATCCAAAGTCGACATCAAAACCTGAGAAGTGCTAAGAATCTACAATATTTGGCTTGCTGAGAGGTAGAACCCATCAATCGACTTCCTTACTCTAGCCCTGCATTGTGCTTGACCATGCTGTGCCCTAGAGTACTGTATGTTTACAGACACTGCTGTACCAGAAGTGCATAGACGAAGTTTCAGAGGAAAGCAATTAAAATGGTTAAGTGGCTTGAGGGGCTCATCTTGAAATAGACACTTTGTAATGACCTTCAGAATGTGAAGACCCAGGAGAGGAATTACTTAGGGTAGTACAAGGGGATTAAATTAATAAAAAGGAAAGTTTAGGTTGAATAGCAGGAAGGACATGTCACAGGACCTGTGATAGTCACCCAATGGAAGATAAAATTGAGCTAGTCTGAGCGGAATCTTATCAAACATACTGTAAGGAATAATCCTGCAGTGCCAAGGAGATAGGCTTCTTGGGCCTTCCCAATTTCAGATTTCTAAAACTAGGAGAATACAACTCACCTAGATCTTTTTCCTGAGGGTTACAGCTGGTTCAATAATCCTTCTGTGTGCAGGTAGCTTAAACAGGAAGAAACTATGTCCATTATTTTGCATTTGTTTATGCTAAATTTCATCTGCCACCATGTTAGCCACTTATCTGGTTTTGCTAGATTCTTCTCGAGTGCCTCATAATAGGCTCGCTCTTTAATCTGAATAATGTGGGGGGGGAGGGAATCACCTTGTTCATCTTCTTTTCCAGGTTAAATAGATGGTAGATTAGATTACTTTTGTTTGGAAACTTGGCTCTTCGTTCTTTAATTCCTTCAGTACTGACAGGTGAACAGCAGCTTTCTAGATGACTAACTTGTAATTCATGTTGAGTTTCCCCGTTACTCCTTTTCTGACATTGCTTCTTCACCTTCACTGCCTGGAAAAAAAAATCCTGCCATAGGCAATTCCCATTGTTTTCTATGATAAAGACTGGTGCAAAAATCATTTAAGATGCTTTCCCAGTTTTCCTACATACTGGTCATCCCTTTTACTCCCTCCCAGACTGATTCTCTCATGGACTCCCTCTTTGTAGTTAATTGCTTTTCTGGTTCCCCCTTAACCAGATTTTAATAATATTTTCCAGTTGATCCAGGCAGGAAGTTGTTTTCTTTGTAATGATCTGACTCAGTAATTATGCCCATAATCCAACATCTTCACCACTGATAGGAACAGCAGAAGTCCTTTTAAATAACAATAGTTTAGACTTATTGGCCTTGCATACACAAATCCTGCACCATTTGGACAACTCGTATCCAGAACGTTGTATGCTGGGAACAGATTATTGTACAAATTGATTTAGTTTCCCTAAAACTATAAATGCACTTCTACAAATCAGAGTAGAGCCTGCTTTTAGTGAAATAGTTTGTATAGGACTGTTGATCAAAAGCCTCATCTAGGTCTTGCCATCTAGCTGGTCAATATTTCTTCATCTCTGCTACTACAGCCACTTGTATGATTTTCATCCTCTGTGATGTGTCAGCAGTAAAGTTGATACCTGGGATTCTAAATATGGTTCGTTTGCTATTTATAGTCAGTGTTGCCTAGTGGACAGCACACTGGATCAGGACTTTGGCAACCTGAGTTCTGATTGCAGATCCACCACTGGCCTGCTGGTTGTTCACAAGAAAGTCACCTCCCCTCTCTTTCTCAGTTTCCTTATCTGTAAAATGGGGGTGATACTTCCCTTCTTTATAAAATCCTTTTGATTGAGAAGCAGTAGGTAAGAGAGGTGTTAAGAACCTAAGCATTCCTTTCTTTCACAGGACTGCCTTGTTTCCAGTCCCGGACCAGTGTTTCCAATGTTCACAGACCTGTCCCAGGTTCTCACTATACTGCCACTTATTAGTTTGTGTTTGTCTACCTTAAGTATGTAGAGTGACTTCCATTTCATCTTCCTGTTCTAGGCTGTGTTCTCTAAGCATGGCAGAAGATTACAAACTAGAACCTTCTTTTAGAATCTTACTGTACTCTGGACCATGCTGATTTGACATGATTCTTATTTTATTGGTGACAGCAAAGGCAAGATCTGTTACCTACCAAGGTAGTTTGTTAATGTACATCCATTCAGTATAAATACCATCTTCTTCCCACGCTTTCCTAGACGGCAGCTCACTGTACACTTCTTCCTCTCTATAAAGACTCTAACTTGAAGGATTTGACTAAAC